TGCTCATAGTCTTTATTTGCAACTTACATAATACTAGGCTAGTTGCAGCACCTCGTGAGAGCTCCAAATAGGAAGACCTCACGGGGAAGAAACCAACCTTACGCGGTCTCACCAGCCTTGAGTTCCTACTCAGTGACTTTTGCACTTCTTACTGTTCTTCTTCGTAGTTTGTGATCCAATAATTGGCATAAGCGTTTGCAAAAATCACTACTTTTTCAATGGGTTACTTCCCAGGTAAAGAATGCATTGAACTATTGAACTGACTATGGAAAGCGAAGGAAGCAATGCGATAATGATAAAATTCCTGTGAATTTTTCGAAGTTGTGAATTCTACCCAAGTTGTATTGTTGTAGGAATGCCGTCGAGGTCTTGAAGGGACAAATCTTTGCGTAAAATGTCCAGCTCGATTCGAGACTCGGCCGGGACTTGCGAATCACTTTAAATTGCATTTCGGTGAGTCAACGCCTTTTGTTATACGCGATTGTTTTTCGTAGGTGTCGTTCCGCTGCTCCAGCGAAAAATATTGATTTCGAGGGAATGGCGGAAGATCTTTGAAATAATCTGGGTGTATTTTCTCGCTCTTATGCGCTTTATGGTTAAAGTAAGTTAATAAGGGATGACTGTCGCACGCTGACATTTCTCTGAGCCAGAACTAATGAAATACAGCTGCGGAAAAAAAACTTGGAACAAGCCGAAGTCGCACACTTTTTAATAGCTTCACTTACAAGTTTCAAATTGTATATGAAAACTTTGTTTGTTCAGTCAAGTACGCCTGAAAAAGCTGCTCTGAAGAAGAGAGTTGGTTGATTGAAATTCGTTGCAGAGACAGAATTTTGAAGATTACTGCGATGAGGCACATTTGAGGAGGGGGGGGGGGCAACCTCCGAGTGGAGTTAGGGCTGCCACTGTAGGAGCCGACGTTTTTATCTTGTCAGCGATACTAATTAGCTTTCCCCGCAGGCACGAAAAACTCGGTTGGTTCGGGCGGGAGCCGATCCGGGCTTTGAACCCCAGACCACGCTTGTGGTAAGTGGCGCCACTTGCCACTACACTATCTCCGCTAACCAAAATTTTGATATTATTGTATTATAACATTATATTCTTAGCTTCTGACCCTAATACTGGTGTATAAGAAGAGATTAGATAGCTTAGAACAGATGAAAATGCCTTTTCAAAGCTTGTTCCAAGTTTTTTTTCCGCGTCTATATATAGGGAATCTAGGGCGTTGAAATATCAACAAGGTAGTTAAGTAAAGTAATAACCTGGTGTATTGTTTATTTCCTCCCTTAGCTGTGCTTCAGTTTCAGGAGAGAAACGCAAGTTCGCCTGCGAGTTATGTGATTTTTCGGCGACAACGATGAAGTCATTACGTTTCCATCGACGGGTACATGATCGTTATGGCGTAGGGCCAGCTGCTATTAAGGATTCACCTAAGAACGGGCTTTCTATTGTGAGTATTTTTGAGAAGTTTCCATTTTAGCCCTATTCCGGAATCTTTTTATACCGTGCGATAGTCAGTTGTTTGATACTGTCGCACACTGCACTTTCAGAGGTCTGAAAGGTTACAAACATAACAATGAGCGTTTACGCTAATAGCAGAGGGATCTAATTAGGAGCCGCCGAAACGCCCGATCCTTCTGCTCATTTCAAAGTGATTTACGTCTGGAAGAGTTACTATTAGGTTGTCCGGAAAGTTCTCAGCGTTTTGAGTGTTTCACTTTAAACGATCATAACTTTCTTAATACTCATCGGATTTAATCGAAATAAGCACCGTTCGAATCAGCACACTTTTGCCAATGTGACACAGTCGAGAAATCCCATCAATCGAATCAAGTAAACGATTTGCCAATGTGATAACAGCTTCGGATAAATTTCATTCATAAGAAAAAACTGGGTGGTCGAAGGATATTCTTGCCTGGTCTTGATGATAAGTATTTTCCAGCAAGGGAGTTCTGAAAATGTTTGAAAAGGTGATAGTCGGTTGGCGAAAGGTCTGGAGAATATGGCGGGTGAGGTAGAACTTCAACCCCCAATTCGTTCAATTTATATAGTGATTTGTGAAACGTGTGGGCGGGCGTTGTCATGCAAAGAATCGGACCCTTTCTGTTGACAAGTGCTGGCTGCAGCTGACGCAATTTTCGGTACATTTCGTCGATTTCTTCACAGTAGGACTCTGCTGTGATGGTTTGGCCTGGTAACAAAAAGTTATAGTGGATCACACCAGCCGATGACTACCACACTGTGACCATAACCTTTTTGTCGTGAGGATTCGGCTTTGGAAATTGCCTCAGGGGTCCGCCGGCATCCAACCACTGTCCGAAACGTCTCCTGTTATCATACATGATCTCCTTTTCATCACACGTGACAATTCGGTCCAAAAGCGGGTCGTTTCTGTTGTGCAAAAGCAGTGAAGAAGAAACCTCGAGACGTGCCAATTTCTGCCGGTCACTCAAATTGTGGGGCACCCACTTGTCGAGTTTTTTCACCTTCCCAATGCTTTTCAGACCATCCGCAACAGTGGATTTCCCGTCAGCCTCCAAAATCCCCTTAAAATCCTCGTCAGGTATTGCTTTAGGTCGACCGCTACGAGGTTCATCTTCAAGGCTGAAATCTCCAGAACGAAATTTGTCGAACCATTGTCGCACGGTGCTTTCTCCAACACTAGTGGGCCCCCACACCTGGTTAATTTTTCGAGCTGTCTCGACTGCGGATTGACCCAATTTGTAGTTGAAGAAAAATATCGTCCGAAGTTGCTCTTTTGACATGCTTCAAAAAGTCTTGGGAAAAGGGGTTCATCAAGCAATGGTGAAACGGCAATTATACCATCAGATAGCGCAAAGAATTCTCTTCAGGATGTACTACTGAGACGCAAGGGAGAATGAGTTTTTAATCAGCAATGTACAAAAAATAGTAACACAAAACGCTGAGAACTTTCCGGACAACCTAATACTTCTGGGCAAAGGAATAAGGTTCTGCAGCCACCCCGTAGTTCCGTAGATAAGTACGCCATTGAACAACTTGCGAAGATTGAATTGTAGCTAAGTGTAGGTTTAGGGTTTGAACAAGTTAGGCTTCTGTTCGCTGCGGATGGCGGAGCGCCTCGTAAGCTATGGATCTGGCGCGGCGCCAATTCCGTTTCCAACCAGTACTTAAAGAGGGGAAGCGACAAGACTATAGCATATCGTTCGGATCAGTCGTTCTGTATCAGCTGGTGGGCTTACCCGCTTCAGCAAGGTGGAGAACGGTGGTTGGCGGCGCGCCAAAACAGTCTTACCGCTCCATCATCCGCAGCGAACAAGACGGTACCTGCCCGAATTGTAATCATAAAGACAAACAGTGAAGGTCGGATGGTCGAAGTAACAGTGAAGGTCGGATGGTCGAAGTAATAAGGGTTTTCATTATAATAGTTCAGAGCAAACAGAAAAAAGGAAGGCTCTTACCAGGGAAGTCCGCCAACCCGCTTATCGAGCGGTTGCGTTATCCATTGCGCTATGCCATTGAGATGAGAAAGCAAGAGTGTCCTCGGTAGCGTAATGAATAACGCAAACGCACGATAAGCGGGAGATTCGCGTTCGAGTCCCACCGGGTCCGACTTTTGCCAATATCTCAGCATTCTTGTGATAACTTTCGGAGCGCGCACTGCGGCGTTAAGCAGCAGTTATCAAGCTGAAGCTGATTTTATGAATACTTTGAAAAAAGTTTCAATTCTTTGCTTTTCAACAGTGCGATGAGATAGAAATTACTTTTAACTGACTTCGGTATAAACTCATCTATGGGTAAAAAAAGGCTAAAAAATATAAATGGGATTGGGCCATACTTTGGAACATTTAGTCCGTCAAAATCGTAGAACAAGGGTCTTTTGTAGAGCTTTT